TCAAACATATTGTTAAATACTGGGGTCTGTCTAAGAACATCGTCAGTGATCGGAATTCTCAATTTACTTGCATACTTTGGACCAAGTTGTTCTAACCTCTTGGTTCAACGTTAAGCATGAGTTCTAGTTTTCACCCAAATCTGATGGATAGATGGAGTGCTTCAATTCTATGCTGGGAGACTATCTTCAACACTTTATCTCTGCTTCGCAGAAAATTTGGGTAAAACTCTTGGATGCTGCTCGAATGTGTTTCAATGCTCAAAAGATCTATTCTCCAAATAAGAGTTCTTTCGAGATTACTACTGACCAGCAACCGTTACTCCCTCGTACTACAGAGATTTTTGGCCGTCGAACTACTCGAACTTCTAAGAACTATCTTCAAAAGTACTTGGTCAAATGGTACTCTGATCAAATGGAGCGGATGCAACAGTAAGGAGAATAACTGGGTTAATGGAAAAGACCTTGAAACCTTCAAACTATTAAGCATATCATTCATTAAGGGTTCCAAAGACGTCGCCAAAGCAAATTGGGGATAATGTCACGGACCACAGCTTTACATAAGCCCCGTGACCCTGTCGCAGCTGCAGTTTGGCCAACTTCGGCAGCACATTGTAAATATTTTATTTCAATTGTAAAATAATTGGAAATTAGAAAATTTTAGTATGATTCTAGAGACTTTAAACGTCTACTCCCGTCAGTTGAGTTTTTGTTGTTAAATCTATTATAGGGGGTATAGTCTTTCAAATATCTTTCAAATTTTCTAGTGTTCGCCCCCTACACTAGTCATTGTAATTACCTGCTTTCTTCTATTGTAATTTCTAGTTTTGAAGCAATCAATGATCAAGTTATGTTCAATGCATTTCAATTTCATGTTGTAAGCTTTCTTTAAATTGTAATCAAATTTCATTTCGTCCCGAAACCACCGAAAGAAGGCGGAAGATAGTCTAGCGGAGCAAATTACTGCCGCACAATATCCCTTTATATGAGCAGAAGAAAGATAACCCGTGAAACAAAGTCTTGGATCAATTTTGTTCATATTTTGAAAATAGAAATTAATATTTTTAGCTAATTTAAAAATAATATAAATGAAACTTGAAGTAATAATTAAAGTTTCTATCCTGCGAAACCACACGAGATTTTTCTAATTATTATTATTACTTTTTTAATAAAAATGTATAATATTAAGCTTTGTTTGAGCCACATTTTGAGAGGAAAAATGTATTTTTTAGAGTGTGTTTATGACACATTCTTTTGAAAGAATGTATTATTGAATAGTAGATTGATGGAGAGT